TGACCTTACAGCTTGTGGTCTGAAAGGCTTCACTAGGTGATATCTTAATATGAAGCTGATGATGGTTTGTGTAAGATATATAAGATATATTAATTGAAGTATCCGTTTTTCTCAGGGTGAAGAATTTCTTTCTTGCCCAGCAATCTGATGGCTCTTTCAAGCACTGTTAGTGAGCTAATTATCCATGCCAGTGCTTTCCAAGGAAAAGAAGTGAGAGGACAAGGAGGGATGGTTTAAAACTGAAAGAGAGCTTTAGATTCGATTTTGGGAAGAAGTTCTTCTATTCTGTAGACATTGTAAATGTCAAGGCCTGCTGAGGATCCCTTTGTTTCAGAGTAATTACATCTCAGGATGAACGTGGAGATACAGAGAAGGCTCCAAGGAGAAGGAGTAAAAGGAGAAGCAAGAGAAAAAGACAAGTGGTAAATCTTTATTTTTAGTGTGAGAAACTGCCCCTCTGAGGGAACAGGGGTGTGTGGTGTCTGCAGACTTGATGGAACACAGTCCATACAGAAGGAAAAAAAAGGAGGGGAGCTGGAAGAGGAGGGCTTTGAGTACAATTTATAGTAGGATTTAGTGGGATTTCAGTGGCATTTCATGGGTCCACAGCTTGTCTTGTGATCTCTCTGGGCCTTTCTCACACTGCCCCTTTTCTTACTTTGTGCCCCCTGTGGCGCTGGCACAGGTTGATATTGTTTATATTTGCATTCTTTATGATGCCCCATCCCTGGGAGTGCCCAAGGCCAGGTTGGACGGGGCTTGGAGCAACCTGGGCTGGTGGAAGGTGTCCCTGCCCGTGGCAGGAGGGTGGGACTGGATGGGCTTTAAGGTCCCTCCCAACCCAAACCATTCCAGGATTCTTTAAATTCAGTGTCTGTGAGATGTCCCCTCTCATCTTCAATCTGTTGACTTCGATCCAGTTCGTTTCCTTTCCTTCTCACAGGGCTTTTATTCAACATCCATTTTCTGTCATGTATTTGTTTTGTGGTTTTGGATGGAATATGTTCCTCGGTTAGTTTATTGATGTTTTTGTGACTCCCCTTTTGCTTGTTCCTCCCAACCCAAACCATTCCACGATTCTTTAATCCTACGAACTGCTCATTAATTCCGTTTGCTTTTATTAAACCAGTCACGGGGCTGAGGCGCAACGGCATTTTGGGGGTGAAGTTTTATCTATTCCGACACGGGAACTGCTTGAAAATATTAATGTTGGCGCTTTTTGGGGCGTGGAGGAGGGCGGGGGTTATTTCGGGCCGTGTGGGAGGTC